AAACTTACTAAAAAATATGACTGGCAAAATCTCATTTAAAGCGGACGAGCAAGAGGAAAAACAAAGCGTAAGGCAGGTGCAAAAGACTCGAACAAAAACAAACAAATAAACCGCGGAGAAACGGGGCAAGGTGAACCCTTCCGTTTTTTATCTAACAAAAATCGGCGGTCGGCAGCGCTCGGCGCAAGCGCATCACAAATTATAGGTACTGTAGATGTAATCGCCGGATGCGGGAATCGCCCGCACATTTTACGCGAAATAATGGAAGCCACCGAATCACCAGTTAATTGAGGAGACATGATCATAAATTTAGCGCCGCCAAGTCGACTCTTGTGCAGTCGAGGCGCGCCACCGGGAGCCGTGCCCACTATTAACATATTTTGATTGGTTTAATATATAAGCGCACGGTCTTACAGTTGATTAAGTGTTCGATGAGATCGTAAACATGTAATGCGGAATTGCTGACGTCAAACGGCAATTTTACACTGCGCTATGGAAGCGGTCCAGGGTACAATATATTTATGTATCTCGTCGCATACGTAAGGGCACCCGGCGCTCGGAGGTGAGGGAAGGGAATACATCGCAGAATTATCTCGTCTCCATTTCCGTTCGGAAATAATTACAACCACACAGAGATGGGAGTGATCGATTGCCACCATTAGTTTTTTGTAGCACATTATTTGTTTTCCATCGTTTTGTCGTATTCGAGACATCGTTCACTGTTGGGTCCGAATGCGATTTGGATATTGTTTAATGACCCCTCATTTCCGCCGGCTCGTTATGAATGTATGCTCCGTGTTGTTCTCAGTTTCGATGACAAAGTGGGTAATAAACGTATAAAAGTAATTTATATATGTTTTTAATAGAAAGAAATCAATTCAGACTGCTGGAACAGAAGAAATAGCTCATTATGTTATGAAACCTGCCAAGACTTCGCCTTAATAGTATAGTATAGAATGGAGATAGTATTAGAATTCAATGAGCAACTATATTTAGCTTTGATAAAAGTTAAGTTATAAAGTTCTAATTTCAAGTGATTCATATTTAAATGATTGTGTGTAAAATTGCGTTGATAATGATCCTGTGATGATGTGCGCGTGGTGACGGCGCGGTGACACAGAGGGCGTCTGCTTCCGGCGCTGACGCAACATCCGCGCACTTCCGCCCGCCATCGGGGATACCACAGATCCACTTACTCCCTTCCGTTACGTTTGCGTTTCGTTGGCGATTACGCGGAAATAAGAGATGAAACAATCGATTCTAATTATCGATTCTCTTTATTACATTTACTACATTAGGTTGAATGCTATTATTACATAACTATTAAATTAAAATTAGGCACCAAACAGGCAGCTCTATAGTAAAATAATGACGTGGAAAAGGAAATATATAGCAAGATGACAACAGTGGTACCGTTATTTGTATAATGCTTCGTGCTCTTTGCAAAAGATAAAGCGCTGTACAAAATGCAAAGGAAACATCTGTTATTCGGCGAACTTCTCCGAAGCGTGCATCAAAGTTTACATTAACATTCTTCATCTAATCATGAATTATGGCTTAATTATTTTCATTTATTATTTGAAATCACTATTCTTTTCTGCTTTGCAATTTTCTTTTACGTCTACGATATGTTTTATTTATTATATCGTAATCGTGACGTAGTTAACGATTATTTCTCATACTGAAAGCTATAGGAAAAATACTACAAGAAATACAATGATCATCACGAATAACCAAGAAGTTTTTAAGGTGCTGTCGTACATTAACAGTGACCTTAAACACACACCGAACCTGGTCTTAAGATCTCGAAACTCCTTAAAAAAAATTTTTTGAGGTCTTTCGACAGTTATAACTTCTAATAATATTCTGTCAAACATTATTGAAAATGACTAGCTAAAAGTCCTGTATCCCACTAAAGATTATTTGTTAAGGGAGCTACTGAATTAAAACTAATACTAGAATAGTAATTTCGTACAAGACTTGACAGACCTAATCTTAAGATTCTACTTTCCTATAAATAGTGGTCTTCTGAATCTGACGTAAATTATAAAATAATTATAACAATCAGCTCGGTAAATAATAACTAGTTTAATTGCTTATCTCCTTTAGATAGTGAAAGTGCATTGTTACGCGTTTTCCGGTCAACCGCTCAATCCATTTAAGGCAGCATCATTACTCTAATGATTTCGTTATACGTCAAGAGTAATCTACGCTCACTATCGATTCTACGTGAACGTTTTTTGTTAGCCATCTGTCGCGGAAGGGAACAAGAAGAGGGTAATTTTATCCACTATGACGGGCCACAGTTATCTGTCTCCCAGTGACATATGGAGGCGAGGAAGCGAGAGCTTAAAGGGGTCGCCTCGATGACAGACCTCCATTAACGAAGTGACGATTTGACGATTTCGATACGTCATTAAGAGACGATGACGCGAAGACTTAATCTGTTGCAAGTTACAAACATTCAGAAGACGTGCATTAGGTTTATTGTTATGAAACAAGAACTTTGCTTTGAAGAATTAGCATGAATCCGATTATATGTTTGCCCAAGTTGATAATAACTAAAACAATATAATAATAAGGGATTTATGATTGTTGATTGTGGATGTATACTGAAGTGCAGTCTACATAGCTATAGAAAATTTGTATCCAGTCAGACACAAAATAAATAAAATAATTTAATTTAAAATGTGCAAAAGTTCGATGATATTTAAAATAATAAAGTTTTTATAGCTCATAAAACAAAACCACAAATTAAGCGTTAAAATCATTTATTTTCGTATAAAAAAGGTAAGCTATAACTCCATTTGCGAAGAAAAAGGACATCCTCAATCAATAACACATACTAATCATCGATTGAACTTAAACGTTTTTTTCAAATACCTCCCGATTCATTTGCGGGCCATTAAGGACCGGTTAATTTTACGATCGTCGAGCACTTAACATTCCTGAGGGCGCAGCAGCAGTACAAATCGCACCGGATATCGGAATTTAAAACGTCGCTTTGACGACATTGTCCATTTAACACCTTCGAGATAAAAAGACGCGACGCACGTAGAACGACGCTACGTAAGTACGTTATCCACATGTCCACAGAGTACTACTTATTAAAACTCTTTTAAATTAAATTCTTAAGTATAATTAAACTTAAGCTAACCTTATTAAAGAGAATGATGATTTGGATGATAATATTTATATTTGTTAACATGACGTGGTAACTAGTGTATATAAAAAATCTCTATTGAATGTGACATTCTACGAATACGAATCGAACAAAAAGAACATTCTAAAAATCGGTCCAGCCATTTCAGCGATTATCAGCGATTAGAATCAATGTAAATGATATGGCCACGTTATGACACGTGGGAACCAAACAGAAATAAATAATATTTAAATTAATACGTCCCAAAAGACAGGAAAACTTTATAAAGACCAGGATAACAGGACATTAGAGAAGAGACCGAAAGGAAGTCAGCTTACACAGAAGCGGTGACGAAATTTCCAAGAAGACAAACGAAACGGCTCAAGTCCTTGAATATTTTTCCGCGGATTGCTTATTAAAATCCAACGTGACTCAGCGTGGTGATCGTATGTTATGCTAAGTAGTGATACGGCGAAATAAGTCAATGTGATACAGTTTTATATATGTATGTATTCATTGTATATGTAAGACTACGTGCGCGCGAAACAAAAAACTTAGTGAGTATCCTATGATCTACTTCTATGCCAAATTTCAGCGACATCTAAGCATCCGTTCTGGAGATACCTTCTCATTAATATCTATCCATCCAAACATTCGCACTTATATTGGTAAGATACATCTAAAACATCTCTGTGAACTATGCTACGTCGACTGCCTTAAAATAGCTTGATTAAAATAAATTTCGTTATGGATCTTAAATGTATCAACTTATCAACCTCTGCCACAGACTTACAACTATTATTAACCTAAAAATTCAACCAAAACTATGTACAGCTGCATAAACTATATGTATCTTATATATAAAATTCTCGTGTCACAATTTTCGTTCCCTTACTCCACCGAAACGGCTTGACCGATTCTCATGAAATTTGTGAGCATATTGAATAGGTCTGAGAATCGCCCAACATCTATTTTTAATCCCGCGCGGACGGAGTTGTGGGCGACAGCTAGTAATCAATAAGATGGTAATATTTGGATATAACAAGGTCTAATCTAGTGATTCATCAGTGCCTGGCTTCGAAGCCTTCGTTATTCAACCTTTGGTCATTATACAGTTCATCGTAAGGGCTAATTATAGCCTTAACGACCTAGCTGTCGGCGTAAACGAGGACCACTTGCCTAGTAAAGGCATAGAGAAGCATACACACCCGTTATCACCATCTAGGGATACGGTCTGTTATGGCATCCTAAAAACAACAGAAATTTACTTTAGCATCTTACACGTATTAATCTTTATGAATAAACGATAGTTTAATAAGGTTATTTTAATAGATATAAATTGTACATAACATTCTAAAGTCCTAGGGCCGCAGCAAATACTATGTGACAAAGGCTGCAGCAAATGCAAACAGCAGTTCCAAATAGCGCGCTATCCGCTATAGGTTTCAGTGGTTATAGAACTGAATAGACGAAGATAAGGCCGTGGATTGACGCTAGGGGGCGTAGGTGTAGGTCGATCCGAGCATGTGACTGTTTACCGAGTGCTGTACCATATGTACCGTGAGTACCGCTCAACTGCATCGTCTCTAATAGGGCATTTAACTGACTATTATCAGTGACCGACACGCATGAGGCGACACCGATAAACAATCGACCCGACACTGTCCACTGAATGATGGATAGTCCTCGACTAAAATATAGATATCGAGCGTGCCAGACACGTATCGTGGCAGACAAAATATTATTCTATACAGCGTGCTTTAACGTATTTATATCTATCTTACACAGCCGCGCAGACGCGGACAGACGTGCGTCGCGGCCGGGCGCCAGCAGCACAGTAAGTATATTTTTAATCTGTGCAGGTCATGTCTGTCTGTGTCTGTATCCTCTCCCCGCGCAGTGAGAATAAAGTATCGGGATCGCGCAGACGTGTTTTCTTTTCGTTATGGATAACGAAAAGCTCATACAAATTGTGAGAAAATACAAACACCTTTATGATTTAAATAATAAATATTACAGTAACAATCAGAAAAAGGAACAGGCGTGGAACGAAATAGGAAAAAAACTTCAAAGTAGCGGTAAGAGAACTTATTTTACGTTCTTACAGAGCAATGATCATATGTGTACTGTTTTTTTTTCAAGAATACGAGTATATTTTTTTACTTTTTAAAATGTTAAATTGACACAGACAGAGACTAATATGAAACTTAAAAATGTATTTGTTTTCCTTGTTTCAGCAAGAGAATGTAAAAAAGCGTGGGCACTGCTGCGAGATGCGTACAGGCGTTGTGTAAGAAAGAGGAGAGATAGTGAAAGTGGGATGGCTAGTGTTCCCAAAAAGAAATGGAAGTATGAAGATAAAATGTCTTTCTTGTTACCACATATGAAGGAAAGGCCTACTTCATGTCCAATTTCAGAAGCACCACATTTTGAAAGCGTTGACAACGTTTACGAAGAAGAGGATATTGCTAATTCACTTAAATTGGAAATTTGGGAACAATCTGATACTCTGCTAACTACACCAGAGGTTAATCGACAACCACATGGTACACTGCCAGCATCAACGCCGTCGCCAACTCAATACTACCCTCAGCCAAGGATCACTACAAAAGATGAACTAAATGATAACATACCTAGCACTTTACTTGTGCAGTATTTAATAGATTCTATGAAAAACACCCCACCACCGGATGAAATTGAACAATTTATGGCTGGAATTGTAAGCACTGTACGATCTTTTCCACCGAGAGACAGGGTTATAGCAAAAGCTAAAATATTTGAATTAATCTCACACATGGAATTAGAAATACTTAGTAGGCCATCCACAAGTAATTAACCTTTCCTGTAATTTTTTTAAGTAGAAAGATTATATGTAACATTCTAGACAAAACTTTTTTGTTTTTACCTTTGCGTTAAGTTGTAACATTTGCTAATAGTTAAGTTGTTTTCACCAATCCTTAATGTGTGGTAATTTACAAAACCCAAATTTATTGAAATTACATAATCGAAGGCATCTCGATAATATGTGCATTCAAATTTACATAGTATCGATCGCCACGTGTAGTCCATTGATCGATTTGATAGTGGTGTGGTGGTAGTGGTAGGGGGGAGGGAGAGGTTCCATTGATCGGCGCGGGCGGTCGACCTTGCGTTGCGGCGGAACTCTCGACCGCGCTGTGACGTCACCGGCTAGTATTTGAATATCGTCACGCGGTGTCGATGAACCGAGAAGAATGCATTGTTACGAAAACCGTCCAAGTGTTACAGGTAATACGGTGAGCTGTCATCATGTCATCGGGACAAGTGAGAACTGCACTACACTCATTATGAATACGGTGTGTAGAAGCTATTGGCAAATATGCAATTGATGTTAAAGATATAAGGGGCTTTTTTATTGTTGAAATCCATTAAAAGGAAACTTTGACATTAGCTAGTTGAAATATTAAACGATCCTGTTATTCTTATTTAAAATGTGATGTCACAAAAAATTATTCGTACAAACTCAATTGACTTCAAAATAGGAGAAAAAACGTAATCATCTCAACCCACATTGAATAAAAACTTATTTGGAGCACGATAAATGATATACATAAACCTTAACAGTCGTTCTTACCGAATGAAAAAATTTCATAACATAAACACTATATGTATTACGTAAGTAAAAAGCAATATATAGCAAATTTATTCAAATCTGCTACCAATAACAATTTCATGACACTTTGAGTGAGACTAACAATAAAATTTCAATAAAAACTACCCACCCGGTCGTCGAGTACATGTAAGACTATAAGAACGACAGTTAGCCAATAAAGTAAACACGTCTACCGGTACGGAATTAGGTAACTGCTAATATTTGCCGACACCTACATCCGCCAACCTGTCGCGTGACGAACGGGGCGCCGAATTGAGCGGACTTGCTTCACAGGCGTCCACGAACCTATACAGAGTAACTTTTAAGAGAATTTAGAACGACGCATTTTTTATCCTTTAACTATAATAGTTGATGTACTATTAATATTTGCTTAGTTATACATAATGTTACACGTTAAGAATTTTCCAATGCCGGCAACTAATCTTTCAAAAAAAAAATCGGGTAAGTTCAACAATTGTACCGTACAAATTCAGTGTGACATCAGGAGCAGTAGAAGCATACCAACTTTTAATTTAAAATAATCAGAAAACAGGTTGCAATAATAAAGTAATTCGACTAGTGTCAGTGCGTTCGGTATCCGCTCTATCCAGCGATGTAATCGTACCTTTAAATCCGCTTACCAGAGAGCAAAGCGGCCATTCACATATCGAATATCAAAGTACCTTCATACATAAGTGTGTATGTGTGCTGTAAAAAGATCTATGAAGCGAAATATCGAATTTTAGTAACGAATGCAGTCCTACATAGTTATGCAAATGTGTGCATTTATCAGGACACAGCAGTTCCGCTCGGCACAATTGTGCAACGTTTGTGCAAACATGCATCGAGTTGCACTCTACTCAAAGCAGGCCCTTAATGGGGAAAGGTCAAGGATGTAGAAAATGTTTGTGTTTTAAACTAATGGCCAAACATTATGTTAATATCTACCTACGATTATGCCTAGTATTTTGAATCTGAAGATACTAAATTAGTAGAATTAGTTAAAATAAACAAACTCTAACAATTTGGTTTTACAACGTGAAACAATTATCACAATCTATAAAACATTATGTGTACATTATGAAATTACTTTATTTTTTCTTGAATAAAATCTGATTGTGAGTTGGTAGAACGTAAGAAAATATTGTAAAATGCAGGCGCGAAAAAGATAATTTATATACGTCACAATGTCATACGATAACATCAAAATTTTGCACCTCTGGAGAATCGAAGTCGCGAGTCACGTCTGTCACGGCCGGCCCACCGTTACACCGCCGCCATTACTGATTCTGACAACCGCTAGCAAAGCCCATACCTTCCAACGTCATACCTACAAGCGACATTTGAGCTTATTCCAAGGTCGCATAGATTATAATCGCTTGCACAACACATATAAAGAGATTGGGTTGTCGGATCAACAAATCCGCGGATTTTATGATGTTCCCATCTGCGACATCTTGTTTTACAACGACCGGTTATTGAATGGCCACGAAGTAACGAACGCGTCAATCAAGGAAGATTTCTAGTAATTTTCTTGTCATAACACTTAGGTAAAAGATAATATAGCATATGCATAGTCGCATTTAACAATGTCATGAGGTAAATCTTAGTTAACGTAATAGAACACATGAATCTCTCTTAAAGATTCTATTTTAGTAAAGATAAAGTTAAACATATTATAAAAGCTGAAAAGTAAACTTTAATTCAAATTCATATAAAATCATTTCATTGAGAAATATATTTAGATACGGAAGTTACATACTACGTCAGAAATAACCTAGCGCGCTATAAAAATTCATGGGCGCGATGCTTTCGTTTTGCCAATATCGAAACGCTCCAGGAATGGGGGATTCCGGCGTCGGCGGGCGGCATGCAAAAGCGTAACGAGCATGGGACTAGAGCCGGGTCGAACGACCTCTACCTTCGCGAAATGAATACAAAACACTCCAAACGTACGGCCGTGTGCACGACCTCTGACGGATAAATTAGACATCTTTACGCAAACTAGACGGTTGATCATTTGACTTACAAAAAATAGTATAATCCAAAATAAAATACGTCACTATTTATTTATTCTTAGGCTGAAACAAAAGTGAAAATAGATGTGGCATTTGTCAGCCCAAAAGTTTTAATTCCAGTAATATAACCAAGGTAACAAGTAATAACGGAACCGATGGGAACAATGTAATATAATTAAACAGACTACACCCAAATGTGTTAACAAACCCTTATAAAATAATGTAATCAGCAATCAAACCGTCGTTTGAACAAGAGGACGTTGGATCGAATTCTCACACGCACTTCCTCTTCGATGAAAAACAATCGATAAACGTCAAAATGGCTTATAAAACAAATTAATAGATGTCTTGTTACCGTTGACCGTAATTCCTTTACAAATGTCAAGGGTCACCGAAAAGGATTTCCGCCTTATTCTAATAGGAATAGAACGGTACAAAAAATGTTTTTTTTTTAAACTAAAACGAAGAGGCAAACCTGTATTATGTGAGAAATAATTTACAACTCGTGTCTTCAAAGTAACACTAACAATAATCGAGCTTAGGTTTTAATTAACACTGTGAGAATCGTACAATAAAGAGATCTGTACGTTAGCACTCAGCAGACCGGGAATTGCGATACATTAAAAAAGAACAATAGCTTGTTTATATTGAGAAATGTTTTTGAGGTTATTTTTTATATGATAACTAGCTGTTGGCCGAAACCCGTCTGTGCGGAATTAAAAAAAAACTTAATAAGTAGCCAATGTGTTCTTCCAGGCTAAGTTCTACATCTATAACAAATTTCAGCGAGTTCCATGAACCCGTTCTCGACATACCTTCTAAAAACATCCATCCATCCAAACATTCTCATTTATAATATTAGTATGATAGATAACGAGTAGCAGTCGTTTGTTGGTTACAAAACAGAATTATATAAATTTAGTAAAAGAAAAATATATTACGTGACTTTACTACCGTAAAATATCTCATAATGCGACAGCTATTATTGCAAAGAACAAAATTGTTATATATGACTGATGCCAGTGTTCCTTATCTTGCACTAAGTGAGCGTAGTCTCAAATAACGGCTTTGGTCGTAACTGGAGTGTTGCATTCTCACAAGCGCCATCTACCGCGGTTTCTATCTCGCAATTTACTTCCGCTTTATAATGAACACGTATAGAACAATGCTCTAACGGATTTCGCTTTGGAATACTTATATTGAAGATTAATTTCACAGTTTTCTTCTTCTACTTCTTCATACCTATTTTTGATATAAAGGCTATGTTATAATTGAATATTAAAGAATACAATGGCAGTATAAGTATAATTTGAAAGGGATATGCTATCCACTTGTAATTATGGAAAAATATTTTTAACGAGGCTTTCGTGTTCGTTAATCTACACAGCCCTCACCGTTAGCAACCGTCGGTCGGCTAATATTACTGAAACCTTATGCCACTTCTTTACCCCACGCGACACTTTAGTGTCCGAATTGTGTTCACGTCACATCAAAAGACAAACAGACATACTATAAGTCTGAGATCAATAAAGAATCCTTTTATATTATTTTTTTTATAACAGAAGGGGGCAAACGAGCAGCGGGAACACCGAGGTGTTCAACGACGCCCATGGACATCAGCAATACCAGAGGAACCGCAGATGCGTTGCCGGCCTTTGAGGTGGTGATAAGCTCGCTTCTTGAAGGACCCTAAGTCGTAGCGGTTTGAAAATACCGCCGAGGACAGGCCATTCCACAACGCTGCTGTGCGAGGCAGGAAGTTTCGCGAAAATCCTTATATTATTTTAATTATTTGAATCACTCATGGTTTAATTTCATTATATTTTTGTGTTATTAAAAAAGATTTTTAGAGCTTCGAATAAATTTTATATGGAATAAATGCAACAAATGCATTTATAATCTACGTAATTGGTTCAAATGCGTTATTTAAGTGTTTGTATAATACAATTATTATTTCGACAGTTTGCACAGTTGACATAAACCATAACGGAAGTACCGGAAATAAGCCTACATAATTCTTGTTTCGAAATTGCACGATTCAAAGTTCAATTGCGCGGTGATGCAAGACTCATTGCAGTGAAGTCATATTTTTCACACTTGAATTCAATAAATTAAATTTATATATCATTAAAATTAGTTTTCAATCAGTCCGTTATGTGCAAAAGTGTATGTTTACAACGTTTCTGTGAACAAAAGCAGTAGATATAGCTAATTATGTTTAGCATCCACTTTAAGGAAATATTTTTTTCATTGAAGTAAACAAATTCATAATACAGGAAACTATTATGAGAGATATAATTATCAATGACAACTTACTTTAAGAACAACGCATTTATTTTTCATACTTTGTAAATGTCAATAATAAATAAATAAATCGACTTGTAAACTCTTCCTTATAAACTACGCTATATAAACGCTTTACTTATTTTTTAACTCAGTTGCAAAGGTAATTAATTTATCTTTATTGACTTGAGTTCCAAAGAAGGAAAGCTTAATAAGGGCCACCGTACACCGACAACTTCAAAGAGAATTTTCGCCACTAAAAACAGCAGCCGAAGTAGCTTCTGTCGGCAAAGCTGTCCGTTTATGGCAGTCCTAAAGTGTAATGATTGTGACATCCAATCGCGGCGTGAATTAATTCAGCTGTACCGATGTGCAGCCGGCGGGGGGCTCATTATCATAGTGGCTGTGGATACCGTGCTCTCGATATGTTCCTCACGTCGCCACAACCTATGAAT